TACATCTTTATCATTGGGGTAAATACCCAGTAGTGCAATTGCAAGGTCTTAGGTAGCTCTATTCTTAATTTCTTAAGGAATCTCCACATTGTTTTCCAAAGTGGCTGCACCAACTTACATTCCCACCAGAAGTGTAAGAAGGTTCCCCTTTCTCCACATCCTCTCCAACACATGTTGTTTACTGTCTTGTTAATTTTGGCCATTCTAACTTGTGTAAAGTGGTGTCTCTGTGTAGTTTTGATTTGAATCTCCCTGTTGGCTAATGATGATGAACATTTTTTCATGTGTCTGCTATTCATTTGTACGTCTTCTTTGGAGAAGTGTCTGTTCATGTCTTTTACCCATTATTTTTTAACTTTTTGAAAAACCTCCATACTATTTCCAGAGCGGCTGCATCAGTTTTCATTACCACCAACAGTGTAAGAGGATTCCTTTTTCTCTGCATTCTCACCAACATTTGTTGTTTCCTGAGTTTTTTCCTCACTTGTGTGAGGTGGTATCTCATTGTGCTTTTTATTTGTATTTCCCTGATGTTGAGTGATGTTGAGTATCTTTTCATGTGTCTGTTGGCCATCTATATGTTTTCTTTGGAAAAATGTCTATTAAAGTCTTCTGATTTTTTAAAAAATATTTATTTATTCGAGATGAGAGAGAACAGAAGTGGGAATTTTAATGGTTTCCTGTCTCAAATTTAGGTCTTTAATCCATTTTGAAATTATTTTTGTGTATGGTATAAGAAAGTGGTCCAGTTTCATTATGCATGTTGCTGTCCAGTTTTCCCAGCACCATTTGTTGAAGAGACAGTTTCCCATTAGATATTCTTCCCTGCTTTGTCCAAGACTTGTTGACCATAAAGTTGTGTTTTCTGGGTTTTCTATTCTGTTCCATTAATCTATGTGTCTGTTTTTGTGCCTATACACTGCTGTCTTGATGATTACAGCTTTGTAATATAGCTTGATATCAGGAATTGTGATGCCTCCAGCTTTGCTTTTTTTTTTTCCCAAGATTGTTTTGGCTATTTGTGGTCTTCGGTGGTTCCATACAAATTTTAGGATTGTTGGTTTTAGCTCTGTGAAAAATACTAGTGATATTTTGTTAAGGATTTCATTAAATGTATAGATTGCTTTAGGTAGTGTAGGCATTGTAACAATATTTATTCTTCCAGTCCATGAGTATGGAATATCTTCCCATTTTGTTGTGTTAGCCTCAATTTCTTTCATCAGTGTTTTATAGTTTCCAGAGTACATATCTTTTACTCCTTTGTTTAGGTTTTATTTTCCCTAGTTATTTTATGGTTTTGGTGCTTTTGTAAACTGGATCAATTCCTTGATTTCTCTTTCTTCTGCTTCATTACTGATATATAGAAATACAACAGATTTCTATACATTGATTTTGTATTCTGTGACTTTACTGAATTTGTGTATCAGTTCTAGCAATTTTTTTATGAAGTCTTTTGAGTTTTCTATATAGAGTATCATGTCATCTGCAAAATATTTGACTTCTTCCTTGCATTTAGGATACCTTTTATTTCTGTTTGTTGTCTGATTGCTAAGGTCAGGTAGTCCAGTACTATATTAACTAACAGATGTGAGAGTAGACATCTCTGTCTTGTTCCTAACTGTAGAGGAAAAGCTTTCAGTTTTTCCCCATTGAGGATGATTTTACCTCTGGGTTTTTGTATATGACCTTTTTATATTGAAGTATAGTCCCTGTATTCCTACTTTGTTGAGGATTCTTATCATGAATGGGTGTTGTACTTTGTCAAATGCTTTTTCTGCATATGTTGAGAGGATAATATGTTTTTTTAATCCTTTCTTTTATTAATATGGTATACCATACTGACTTGTGAATATTGAACCACCCATGCAACCCAGGAATAAATCCACTTGATCATGGTAAATAAGTCTTTTAATGTACTGTTTGATTTGATTCATTAGTATTTTATTAAGAATTTTTGCATCCATGTTCATTAGAATATAGTTCTCTTTTTTTAGTGGAGTCTTTGTTTTTTGGTGTCAAGGTAATGCTGGCCTCAAGGAATGAATTTGGAAATTTTTCTTCTTTTTCTGTTTTCTGGAACAATTTGAGAAGAATAGGTATTAACTCTTTAAATATTTGGTATAATTCCCCCTGTTAAGCCATTTGGTCCTGTACTTTCATTTGTTGGGAGATTTTTGGCTACTGATTCAATTTCTTTGCTGGTTATTGGTCTATTCATATTTTCTATTTCTTCCTGTTTCAGCTTTGGGAGTTCATATGTCTCTGGGAATTTATCCCTTTCTTCCAAATTGTCAAATTTGTGTGCATATAATTTTTCATAATATTCTTTTTGTATTTCTGTAGTATTGGTTATTTCTCTTTTCACCTTTGTGATTTTATTTACTGAGGTGCTTTTTCTTTTCTTTTTGATAAGTGTGGCTTAGGGTATTTATTTATTTATTTATTTATTTATTTATTCAAAGAACCAGCTCCTGGTTTCATTGATCTCTTCTACAGTAGGTTTTTTGTTAGTTTTGTTTATTTCTATATCATTTATTTCTGCTCTAATCTTTGTTATTTTTCTTCTGCTGCTGTCCATAGGTGTTTGTTGTTGCTGTTTTCAGCTCCTTTAGGTACACAGTTAAGTTGTTTATTTAAGATTTTTAGGTCTAACTTGAATCCCTTGTAGGCAGGATATGGATGGGCCTTGTTTTGTTATTCATTCTGACAGCCTGTGTCTTTTGATTGGGGCATTTAGTCTATTTATATTCAGAGTAATTACTGATGCATATTTAGTGTCATTTTATTACTTATTTCGTCATTGTTTCTGCAGGCTTTCTCTGTTCCTTTGTAGTCTTTGTTGTTTTTTATCTTTCCCATTCAGAGTCTGCTTAGTATTTCTTGGAGGGCTGGTTTGGCAGTCGCAAACTCCTTTAGTTTTTGTTTGCCTGAGAAACTCTTCACGTCTCTTTCTATTCTGAATGATAGCTTTGCTGGATAGTGTATTCTTGGCTATAGATTTTTCCCATTCAAAATTCCTGACTTTAAAAGCCCAAACTGAGATGATAGTTCTTTGAGTATCAGAGTCACCAGATAGTATTTTGTGTAAAACCTGAACTTGTTGATAGGCAGAAGGCTAAGTAGCGAGACCAAATAGATAGCAAACAAGTAGAGGGTATTAGCAGAGAGCTCCTGTAGAGATATAAAACTCCTGCATCCAGTGTGTAGGATGAGGCACTGGTATTGAACGTACTTCATTTTCTCCTACAAGGCACTGAGAGTTCAAATGAAGTTGGACATGTGCCTGTCTATTGTGGTTAATGAATAGTCACTGCCACCATCCCTGCGAATACTTTCAGTTTGCTAAAACCCACTTCCTTATATCCTATCTATCTTACAGAAGAAGATGAATTCCAGGATGTCCACTGGTTAGACATTGGTAGTGGAATTAATGTTTTGTCCTTTTCCAGATAGATTCATGCTAGTGTGAGCAGAAAGGGGAGTTGAAGAGGATAAAGAAACTAGAAATGTTCTGAGTAACGTATTTCTGTCATTTAGTGTCTTAGACCCAACAGGAACCTACTTAACTGAGCCTTTGTGGATTAATGACTTTATTCATGAGTAATCAGAATAAGCGAAAGCTGATTGCAGTGCTTCTCAAATTTTAACAGGCAACAGAAGGAATCTGCTCCCAGAGATTCTAATTCAGTAGGTGTGGGTGAATTAAGACCTGAGGATTTGTACTTATAATAAGTTCAGGTGAAGCTGATGATGAGAGTCTGGGATGGTGCTTTAAGGATGGCTGGCCTAGTGTCTAGCTACTCAAAGGAAGAGCAGGAGTGGTATACCCTGGGAGCTTGTTAGAAAGGCAGAATGTTGAGAATTAGCATTTAACAGAGTCCCCTGAGGATCAGTAAGGTGTGAAAGTTTGGGACACAAGGTTTTAGTATGTAGGTTCTCAAATATGAATTAGATTAATCATAAACCCAGCATGGTTTTGTGACAATCCTGCTTCATAAATTTTTTCCATACTATGATTAAACATAAAATAGTAATACAAATTTCAGAAATGCCTGCAAAGCATTTGAAACCCCTGAGCACTAACAAACTTCCTCAGGCTTGGTATCTCCATTTGGTTTAAAGACAGAACAAAACAAACAATGGGATATATAAGCATATAATTTCTGACTTCAGCAAATCAATTTCATGTTGGATGAAAAGTGAAGAAGTTTTAATCTGTTCTGTACTCCATTGGGTGAGATACAACATGAATAAACTGTTTCATTCCCCTAACAGCAACAACTCAGGGTCAGCAGTCAGCTAATCGCCTACATGAAATTATCACTGAGGCCACCTTGCCCTCTGTGGCTCTGGTGGGTAGCGTAAGGGAGGAAGTGGGGGACCAGATGGTGGAGATGGGTCTGTCAGGCCCCATCTCCTTCCCCATTGCAACGGTAGCCTTGGAACAACAACAGGAAGAACAATTAGTCCTTTACTTAGCTTGTATAACATCAATACTCTTCTATTGTCATACTCTTTTTCTCTTTCTTTCCCATTTTATTATTATTATTTTTTGAAGTATCAGACATTTTAGGAGAGACATTTACACTTGATTTAATGTTTATAACCTGGGGAAAAACATTTTATTTCTAACTTTTTTTTTTTTTTTAAGTTTCTCTACAAGAGGATTTCTTTTTGTGTGTTTGGGAAAGGACAAAATATTGGTATTCTGGAGATCAAAGATTTATGAAGAATCAGAAAGTCCCTGTCTCTTCTGATTCTCCAATCCTGGAGTTTCCTTGAAAGCAAAGTGAACCCAGAGTGTTAGATTTATTCTTTCTCTCTCTCTCTCTCTTTTTTTTTCCCATGTGCCTTTCTTTTCCCCTCCCCTTCAGAATGTTTCCTGCCTTCTCTACCATGCCCATCCCTTGGCAGCTCATGGTTGGTAGGAGCACAAGCCCGTGGTCAAATGCAACATCCTGTCTCATATTGTGTCCATCATTGCCAAAAGTGGAGTGAAACTCAGGAGCTGAAAAGCAGAGTCACAGTGAAAGAATGGGGAATTATCTCCTGAGAGAATTCAGGTGAGTCTGAAGCTGGGCAGGGGTCCTTTTTGGAAAAACAGAGAGGGGTAGACTGGATGTATGCATTTGGAACAGTGACACAGTGATGCTTTAAGAGGTTTGAACCTCTGAACAGCATTTTTAAGAACACACAGTGTCCCATCACCACCTCAGTTTACTCAGCCCTTTTACCTTCTTTGGAACCACGGTAGGTTGTAAGTTTTAGAAAATAAAAATACAGGTTTTCAAGTTAGATTTTAATTTCAGATAAACAATTTTTTTAAGTGTGAATATGCCTTATGCAATATTGGAACATTATTGCACTGTCATAATTATACTAAAGAATTGCTGTTTAAATGAAATTCAAATTTAACTGTATTTTGCATTTTATCCAGAAACCCTAGTCTGTAGTCACTTGAATTTTTCTATACCTTTTTATCCTCATCTTGGTATACAGTTTATCTTCCCATTCTTCAACTTCATGGGGTCTGGATGAGAACAAACAGGTTCTTGAACATTATGGATGCAAAATAATGTACTCAAATGCTTTTCAATTAACTAGTACGTTCTCTTGGTGATTTTTAGCCTTCTTCACCTTCTAATACTTTTTAAAAAATATTTTATGTATTTATCTATTTATGTATTTGACACAGAGGAAGAGAGAGAGAGAGTGCACAAGTAGGAGGAGTGGCAGGCAGAGAGAGAGGGAGAAGCAGGCTCCCTCCTGAGCAGGAAGTCCAATGTAGGACTTGATCCCAAGAAGATCATGACCTGAGCCAAAGAAGACACTTAACTGACTGAGCCACCCAGGTGCACCTTGAATGCTTTTGAAGTTATAGAATAGATATGGATAACAGACATTATTCTTCTTACAGCTTTCTTAATTTTTTTTATAAACATATAATGTATTTTTATCCCCAGGGGTACAGGTCTGTGAATCGCCAGGTTTACACACTTCACAGCACTCACCATAGCACATACCCTACCCAAAATCCATAACCCCACCCTCCTCTTTCACCCCCCTCCCCCCAAGCAACCCTCAGTTTGTTTTCTGAGATTAAGAGTCACTTATGGTTTGTCTCCCTCCCAGTCCCATCTTGTTTCGTTTATTCTTCTCCTACCCCCTTAGCCCCCCCATGTTGCATCTCCACTTCCTCATATCAGGGAGATCATATGATAGTTGTCTTTCTTTGATTGACTTATTTCGCTAAGCATAATACCCTCTAGTTCTATCCACATCATTGCAAAAAGAGAGAGAGAGAGAGAAAGAATAAATCTAACACTCTGGGTTCACTTTGCTTTCAAGGAAACTCCAGGATTGGAGAATCAGAAGAGACAGGGACTTTCTGATTCTTCATAAATCTTTGATCTCCAGAATACCAATATTTTGTCCTTTCCCAAACACACAAAAAGAAATCCTCTTGTAGAGAAACTTAAAAAAAAAAAAAGTTAGAAATAAAATGTTTTCCCCAGGTTATAAACATTAAATCAAGTGTAAATGTCTCTCCTAAAATGTCTGATACTTCAAAAAATAATAATAATAAAATGGGAAAGAAAGAGAAAAAGAGTATGACAATAGAAGAGTATTGATGTTATACAAGCTAAGTAAAGGACTAATTGTTCTCTTTCTCCAATTGACTTATTTCGCTACAGCTTGCTTAATCTTAAAGGACTGTTTTTATAGCACCCCACTCTTCCACCTACTTACATTAACTCCTTCCAATCTTATTATATTATGTTATATAGTAAGACGAGATTTTTAAAAGCAAGATATAATTGACATATAACAGTATATGTTTAAAGTGCACAGCTTGTTGATTTGGTATATTTATATATTGCAATATGATTACTACCATAGTATTATCCAAACACATCTATCACATCACATAAATTATCACTTCTTTTTGTGATTAGAATAATTAAGATCTAATTCCTCATCAAGTTGGAAATTTACAATACAATGTTGTTGATTATAATCACTATTTTGTGCATTAGATCTCCAAGACTTATCTATCTAGTAGCTGCAAGTTTGTACCCTTAAACAATATCTCCCTAATTTATCCACCTCCAGCCCTGATAACCACCATTCTACTCTCTGTTCCTAAGAGTTCACCTTTTTAAAGTTCCACATAGAAGTGATATTTGTCTTTCTCTGTCTGACTTGTTTCACTTAGCATAATGCCCTCAAGTCCATGCCATGCCATGTTGTCATAAATGGCAGGATTTCTTTTTTCTTGTGGCTGAATAGTATATATGGACATATTCTATCCATCATCTGTATCTATCTTTCTATTATCTAGCTATCAATCTAACATCTATCTGCTCTATCTATCTATCATCTATTTGCAACATCTTCTTTATTCATTCATCCATTGACAGACCCTTAGATTGTTTCCATATCTTGGCTATTGTGAGTAATTTTGCAATAAACATGGCAGTGCAGATATCTCTTTGATATCTTGTATTCATTTCCTTTGGCTGTATACCCAGAAGTGGGATTGTTGGATCATATGGTAGTTCCATTTTTAATTTAAAAATTGTTTTCCATGGTGGCTAGATCAATTTATATTTCTACCAATAGTAAAAGGTTTCCTTTTTCTTTACATATTTGCCAACACTTCATACCACTTCTCTTCTTGATGATAGCCATCTGACAGGCACCAGGTGATATTTCATTGTGGTTTTGATGTGCATTTCCCTAATGATTAGTGATGTTGAACACCTTTTGGTATACCTTTTGGCTACTCATTTATGTTCTTTAACACAACTAGATTCATCTGCTCATGACAGAGCTCTATTCACATTACTCCTGTGTTTCAGGATACATCCATTTCCCACTACTTAACATGTAAAGTGTAGACCACTTATTTTGGAATTTAAGGTCTTATACATTCTGTTTTAATAACTCCCTGACAAATGAAATAAAATATAATAATAATAATAATAATAACAATAACTCCCTCCATCTTGTTCTCTTTTCACTTGGGGCATTGCCTTCACTGCATGGCTTAACAACGAGCCTCTGATCAATTATTTCAGTTTAGTAGAGATTCTCTCAAGGATAACTGTTGTCTTGAATATATTTTTGCAGTCCTGATGTCTCCCTAGAACTTAACACAAAGTAGGGATTTAAATAAAGTAAAATTAATTTGGTTAAATATATTTTTCTGCCCTTTCTACTGTAAATATGTTGTATGGACTTTATACCCTTATCAAATTGACCACTGATTCATCTTTTGATTTCAAGTCTGTGTGCACTGGCTATCAAAACTCTTACTCCTGAGTACTTTTCCAACCATTTTTACTTGTCAAAATATTCATTCTGCAATGCCCTGGCCTAATGTGACATCTTCCTGATCTTCGCCAGAAATTATTCTTTCACATTTTTATGAGTTATAAATGGTTTATATGCATTTATGACACTAACCACATTCTACCTAGTGTCATGATTACTTATATACAAGTCTTTTAGATTATTGATCCTTCAATTACAATGACAGTACCTTTAAAACTTGAGCATCCCTGAAACTTGTGCTTATGCTCTATGGAAATTAAGTTCTCTATAAATATTTTTTTGCTATTACAAAGAAGCATATGTAATTCTTATTTGAGGGAAGTAGAGGTCAAAATGATCTGCTTTGTAGTACTGAGACTTAAAGGAACTTTCCATTTTTAATTATATCCCTTTTTGGATTGATTAAGTTAAGTTTTCTGGCATACATCTGCTACCATATTCTGATAGAGATGACAATCTTTGGAAACAGTCATGGACTTTTACTTTATAAATATTAAAGCAGTAAGAGGATGTTGCTTCAATTTAACCATGCTGTAGTGAAGCCATTTAGACTCAGAGAGATGGAAATGTTTTGGTTTGGTCACATTTTCACTTGCAAAGACCCTCTTCTCATTCTGCTCTTTAGCCATTGCTCTTTGCTTAGAATTCTAGGCCTGATTTTCTGGAAAAGTCCATTTGATAGGTTTTGGTTTTATTTGTTTTTTAAGTTTTTATTTGTTTTAAATTTAAAATTTATTTAAATATTTTAATATATATAAATATATATATAAATAATATATAAAATTATATAATTAATATAATATAATTAAATAAAATATTAAGTATTTTATTTAAATATATTTAAAATAAATAAAGTATGTTTATTTATTTAAAATATATTTTATTTATTATAAATAAATAAATAAAATTTTATTTATTTAAATTTAATTTGTTTAAATTAAATTTTATTAGTTAGCATACATATGATATCAGTTTCAGTTCTATTTTAAAATCTATACAGACACAAAGAGGAAAGAGGAGGACATTGACTCAGGAGATCTCACTGTGGGTATCTGTGAATGAGACCTCCAGTGTCCAGCATTTTCCACACATCTTACAGCAGTCAAATTCAGTGACACTCAAATAATTCACAGGGTTGAACACAATATTCAACTTGCACTGATAATAACAAATGATGATTATTTCAGGCTTTCTCTTTGAACACATAATGTTAAGAATTTCACAAGACTATCTCATTATTTTTTCACAACTATTATATGACATGGTTGTTGTTATTACTCTCATGCACTATGATTCTAGAATCAATCAATAAGTAAGTAAGTAAGTAAATAAATAAATGTGAGTTGCATAGTTGGATGTATTTATTGATGGGTGATAGAGATATTTTATTCCCAGTAAGTAAAATATGAATAATTTCGGTCCAAAGCACTCTTTTCTTTGGTGAACCTTATGTTTATTATCATTATTTGATTGGTCCCCAGTAATTTTTTTATATTACAAAACTATTTTATTTGTCAATTATATCTTGATAAAGTAGGGGAAAAATAATGTGTCTTCTGAGGAAAGTCCACAGACACCTATAGAATATTATTCTCCCCTAATATCAACACTGAACTTGATCAAGTATCTAGATAGAATCAATCCCGACTTACAAGAATATTTGAAACAGTTCGAAATTTTTATTTGAACCATATTTTAAACAATAGCATGGAAATGCAACCAGCGA